TAGAAATTAGAGTTATGCTGCTACAAACCAAAAAACACTAAGGACTTCTTGTAAACAACAAAAGTTAGGGATGAAAGGATTTTTTTAAGCCCGTAAGTGTGTGGTAATTTGTGATAGCAGTCCTAGAAAACTAATGTAACTACCTACACATACAACTTCCTGTGTATATTAACAAGACTTTATTAGGCCAATGTCCTCATTAGCATACCTCTACTATTCCAGAAGACTCTTGCATGAATATAACTTGATTGTTCATTACAGAAGCTTCAGGAAAGACCCATCAACTCTTCAACAAGAAACATCAACAATTTTCAAATCCTTGCCTTGCTGAATTCTAAACTATTATATCATGGTATTCAATCCTAATCAGGCCCCATCATTACCACTGGAAGACTCAAACAAAATTTCAAATTCTCACATTTTAGCCTTGACTTTGCCCCTCTAAGATACCACCAAAGCTCTTGCAAGGTGGTATTCTCCTTCACAGCATAAGCCATAAACTCAGCTTTGTTTTATCAGTAGGTTGTGTTAATGATACCTGGTTAAATCAGCATCAGATAATCCTGGCAGAAGGTATGACACTCTTGGGTCAGAGACAAAGAAGTTTACTACTCAAAACAACAGTAGTGGCCAGAATATAATCTTTTGCACTGGTTCCCCAAGCTCTAATTCTTAAGAGGCAACACAAGGAGAGCCAGTGATGCCTGTACACACAGTAGGCTGTATTATAGGAGAAAAAAAGCTGAGCTTATCCAATCTAAATCTTTCAAGGAGTAACAAACCCTATCTTTTCCCCCAAAGGGATTATCTTGATTATCCTGAACAGCAAAGAAATCTATCACCTGTCCTTATGGAAACACTATTTCCATCTACGTAGGCTGTTTGCTATACAAATTTCCTTAAAAGACAGCCCCCAACAAAAGCTGTCAATGCTTCTGCTCAGAATATGGACAGAAACACAAAAGACTCCTAAAGAATTGTCTCCAAATAGGTGTCCTCTTTGTCCTAAAAGGCTAGAAATTCTTAGGAAATCAGAATGAACATAGTATAACACAATAAGTATTACATGTTACGGGAGAAAAAAATTAGAGCAAAGTATACTTTCTGTATAACTAAAACCACTTGAACTGAGTCACAATTTCTTAATATGCCTATACATCAAATACCCAAAAGTAAACACCTATGATATTATATTTATTTTAAAATGTTCCATTTCTAAAATAGTATCTCTAACAAGTTTTTTTGCTAATTTTCTAGGTTTGGTAGTGCTCATGAGAAAAAGGAGCACTTTAATTATACCTGTAAACATGTTAATTAGTGAAATCCTCCAGAGCAGATTTTAGGGTACTCAGATTTTCAACCAAAAAATCTAAGGTCTATATTTATCTGAAATGTTTGTGAAAATAGAGGTCTTATTTAAATTTTATACTTTTAGGGGTGCCTGGATGGCTCAGTCAGTTAAGCGTCTGACTTCAGCTCAGGTCATGATCTCACAGTTCATGGGTTCAAGCCCCGTGTCGGGCTCTGTATTGACAGCTCAGAGTCTGGAGCCTGCTTTGGATTCTGTGTATCCCACTCTCCCTGCCCCTCCCAACTAGCGCTCTGTCTCTGTCTCTCAAAAAATAAAATAAAAATGTTAAAAATAAATAAATAAATTTTATGCTTTTAAATTGATCTACATAAAAATGCTTTCACATAGTTATATTTAAACATCAACACTTTTTTTGTTTCTGTTTGAAATCTAAGATTGTATCTAATACCATTTCAATAGTGACCTGTTCTAACTTAAAGTCTGAAGTTAAAGTCTGAAAAAGAAATTAAAAACTGAATTTTATAAACAATTTTATTTTTATTTTTTTACATTAATTTAAAACTTGGAGAGTGTTCTGCATCCTGGAGGGTGGGGGAGAAGCTATATTAGAATGTCTTTAGAATTGTCAAAAACTAAAATTTCCAAATAGTATGCGGACATAAATAGTATTTTTAAACTGTAAACAACTTTAAATTGAGCAATTTAACTTTATCCCTACCCTTAGGTCAAGCAACAATCCCAGGATAAAGAAAGGCAGGATGATGAGTAAAATGAGCCACCACACTACATGTCTCCAGCTAGCTGTATGACTAAAAGCTTATCACTTCATCTCTCTAGGTCTCCTTTTTCCCATTTACAAAACACACACACACATACACATACACACACACACACACACACACACACACACACACACAGGCATTAACCTAAATGTTCCTCAAGGTCCATTTTGTGTAATAATTATGTGAGAAGCTTTTACCCTTCTGATAGGCTCCATTTTCTCATGCTTTAAGGAAATTCACTTTCTACTTTCTTGCCCTGCCAATCTTGTAGAATCCACCACAGACGCAAGGTATTCTAATGAACTCCAAGTAGTCCATGTATGGCTGAGACTAAACCATGCATTCAACAAGTTGTAATACTTGCTATCCTTCCTTCAGAAAATACCAAAATCTAAAACAATCACTGCTGACAAGAAGCTCAATCATCTAGGGGCACGTGAGTGGCTCAGTCAGTTAAGCGCCTGACTTTGGCTCAGGTCATGATGTCACGGTTCATGAGTTCGAGCCCCGCTTCAGGCTCTTTGCTGACAGCTTAGAGCCTACAGCCTGCTTCGAATTCTGCGTCTCCCTTTCTCTTCCCCTCCCCTGCTCACACTCTGTCTCTCTCTCAAAAATAAACAAACATTAAAAAAAAAAAAAAAAAGGAAGCTTAATCATCTAAGCCAAAACAATCTTGAGAAAGAAGACCAAAGCTAGAGGTACCACAATCCCTGATTTGAATCTGTACTACAAAGCTGCAATAATCAAAACAGTATGGTTTTGGCCCAAAATCACACTCATCAATCAATGGAACAGAATGGAAAGCCCTAAAATAAACCTAAGCTTAAATGGTTAATTAACCTATGACAAAGGAGGCAAGAATATATAATAGGGGAAAAGACAGTCTCTTCAATAAATGGTGTTAGGAAAACTGGACAGCTACATCCAAAAGAATGAAACTGAATCACTTTCTTATACTACACACAAAAACAAACTCAAAATGGATTAAAGACCTCAATGTAATACGTGAAACCATAAAACTTAAAAAAAAAAAAAAAAAAAAAAAAAAAAACACAACAACAACAGGCAATGATCTCTTGGATATTGGCCTTAGTAATATTTTTCAGGGTATGTCCCCAGGCAAGAGAAACAGAAGCAAAAATAAACAATTAGGATTACATCAAACTAAAAAGCTTTGCACAGTAAAGGAAAACTATGAACAAAATGAAAAGGAAGCCTACTGAATGAGAGAAGCTACTTGCAAATCCAATAAGGGGCTATATCCGATAAGGGGCTAATATCTAAAACATATAAAGAAGTCATACAACTCAAAACCAAAAAACAAACAATCCAATTAAAAATGGGCAGAAGGCCTGAAAGAAGATATACACAAGGTCAACAGAAACATGAACATCACTAGTCATCGGAGAAATGCAAATCAAAACCACAATGAGATATCACCTTACACCAGTCAGAATGGCTAGTATCAAAGGAAACACACACACACACACACACACACACACACGCACGCACGCACGCACAAGAAATAACAAGTGTTCACAATAATATAGAGAAAAGGCAACCCTTGTATACTATTGGTAGGATTGTAAATTGGTGGAGTCACTATGGAAAACAATACGGAGGTTTCTCAAAAAATTAAAAATAGAAATATCATTCAACACAGCAATTCCACTTCTGGGTATTTACAGAAAATAAACATACTAATTCGAAAACATATATGTACCCATATGTTTATTGCAGCATTATTTACAATAGCCAAGATATGGAAGCAACATAAAACTCCACTGACAGATGAATGGATAAAGAAGATGTGATATATATACACATATTACTCAGTCATAAAAAAAAATACTGAAATCTTGCCATTCATGACAACATGGATGGAGAGTACTGAGCTAAGTGAAATAAGTCAGATGGAAAAAGACAAATACCATATGATTTCACTTATATATAGAATCCAAAAAACAAAACACACAAACAAAAGAAACAGAGTCATAAAAACAGAGAACTGGTAGTTGCCAGAGAGGTGGTAGGAAAGGCAAAAGAGATGAAAGGGATTAAGAGGTACAAACTTCCAGTTATAAAATAATTAAGTCACAGGATGGAAAGTATAGCATAGGGAATGCAGTCAATATAATGTGATAAATTTGACTGATATAATCACCAAAAACTGGAAACTCCCCCAAAAGTCCATCAACTGGTAAATGGATAAACTAAATGATATATCACCATATAGCAGAACATAGCTCAGCAAGAAAAAAAGAACAAATTACTAGTATACACAACATGAATGAATCCTAATGCATTATGTTAAGTGAAAGAAACTAGATTTCAAAAGCTACATACTAAATAATTCTAGTTAAATGACATACACGAAAAAGTAGACTATAGGGACAAAAAACAAATCAGTGGTTGCTAGGAGTTGTGGTGAAGGGAGAGGCTGACTACAAAGAGACACCGTAAGTGAATTTAAAAGATTATGGTGACGAATATACATTTGTCAAAATTCCAAGATTAAACACTAAAAACAAATAATAACTTTAATGTAGGACTAAAATCTGGACAAGAATCCAACCTTTAAAAGTCAGCTATCAAAAATGTCAAAAAATTCTAAGATGAGTTGTTTATTTCAGCACCAAATATACCACACGACAATGCAAGTACAATGTACCATATTTAGCCATAAACAGGGAGTAAAACATTTTTTTTTTATCTTATGTATTACAGATTACACATGGTACTCAGAAAATGTTTATTAACTAATACACAATTCAACAGAGGTTAGACTGACCTGGTCTTTCTACTTCACTGCTATACACATACATGCTTCAAACACATAATTATCCGTTTCTCAACATATTAATTTATAATTAGAACAGGGAAGTGCTGTCCACAAATATACTAACCTGAATTCGTTCAGTTAATCAATAAAGGCAATAGAACACTTTATCTTGAATGAAAATACCATCAGGGTCATGGGTACTCTCTTAGCAAAAGCAGCAACCTGGAACAACAAAAACAAATAAACAAATGAAATTGAGCCCTACTCTAAGTTCAGTTAGAATACCCTCAGTTATTATACCATTTAAAAAATTCCTTTTTCTCCCTTATAACATGTTATAACATGTGAAACTTTTGCAAGCAGTGTTTTTCTGCAAGCAGTGTTTTTCAAATCCCAATAAAGAACGGGTTTTTACTTTGCAAATTACAGTCAAACACAGTAACAGTGTCTTATTTTGCTCCATAGTTTATCTTAAAATAAGTCAGCACCTATAAAACTTACTGTGTGAACACAAAACCCTTTAATTTTGTCTACTTTTTAACATATAGGACAATCAGAATTATCTCTCTTTTCAGACTAATGCTCAAAATCTTCTACAACCCTCACACCCCAATTAGCTCTACAACCTAATTTCTGACTATCTTCTACAGAAAATTCCATTCAAGCCAATTTAATTTGCTTGCTTTCCACAGAAAAATGTTGTCATTCTCTGCAACACACCATTCCTTCTTTTTAGAAGAGGGACTTTTTCTCCCTTATCCTCTTGGTGAATCAATGCATATCCATCAATTTTCTCAAAATCCAGCCCCTCCATTTCTCCCTGAGAGCTGATAAAATCACTCTGTACTCCCATTAATCCTTGCCAGAATATGCTGCTGCCTTATACAGGCGCCATCTCATGTGATCTTCTGATAAGGGACCCTATCTCTTACTTCTTTTGCCTCCCAATTATATACTACCATGTTTGACACATAGAAAGTAATCATATGATTGACAAGTGAATGGTCTTAATAAAGATTCACACATCAAATGTTTACTAAGTACATATGTACAAGTCATTAAGTACAAAAAGCCAAGAATAAGATAGCAACACAATACATTCTTCGGAAATATGTCTTTCTGCCAGGTACTTTACTATTGATACATGAGATTTAGGACTGACATTATTATGAATTGTGAGAAGCAGTCTTTCTCCAATGACACCAAAGCCTACTGAAACCAATTTTTTGTGATTACAGATAATATTGAACCAACTTCAACTCCTCCAGCATAAGGTAATCCAACTATTTTCATTTTAAATTCCATAAGTCAAAAACCTATTCTGAGGCAGACCAGCTTATTAAGAACATTCAATAAATTAAACTAAAAATAATAAGCACATTTGTATAGTGCTTTACTATTTACATTATCTCAACTGCTAGATCTGGTTGAAAAAGACAAACTACTGCTAAATTAACTACTCCAAGGGCCCATAAACAAACAATTCCTAAATGGCCATTAACTAGAAAAATCAGCTAAGGGCTCATCATCATTTCTTCCTAAACTTCACCCAAAAGGCTTTACCAACCTCCCACAATAATCCAGTAGTTTAGGATTTATGCTTCTAGCCATTATGGTGTAACTGGTACCAGATTTACGCTCAGACAGTAAGCAACTACAAAACTAGAGAAAACATATGATGAAACAGTTTACAGACACTGGACAATAGTATAGCTATGCATTCCCTGAGTGAAGGAAACAAGCTAGATAAGCCCTATAAACACCTTGACTTTTTGCCAAGAGACATGTCTAGATACCACTGTAGGCAGGGAGATTCAAAGCATAACACAGCAATCCCCTTAACTTTAAAAGACAAAGATCTAAGTTCAGTAAGTTATAGGTAGCAGGAATTACTGGAATAATATACCACAGAGGAGACATTATGCAAAAAAAAGCCCCATCTATGTAGGGGTCCACTTGAGTCTGACTTAATACTCATCTACACACAGAGTAAAATCCATGAGGCCAGGCAAAAAGCAACAGCTGAGGAACCAAAAAAAATGAACAAGCAGAGCTGAGGACATTGGAGGTTCCATCCAACCACAGTAGAGAGAGACCTTGTATACTCTGGGCAATAAGAAGAGACCTCAGCATGGCTAAATCAGTCCCAGAATAAAGACTAGGGGCACCTCAGTCAGTTAAGTATCCCACTCTTTTTCATCTCATGATCTCAGGTCATGATCTCAGGTTTCATGGGGTCGAGCCCCGTGTTGGGCTCTGCACAACAGTGTGGAGCAAGCTTGGGATTCTCTCTCTCTCTCTGACCCTCACCACCCCCCACTCTCAAAATAAAGTAAAAATAAACATTAAAAAAAAAAAAAAGACAACTCTCTAATGAACCCAAAAGAGCTTAAAACCAAACCTTGAAGGAAAAACCCAACCCTCAATTTAATATCTGTAACCAGATGATTAGCCAAATAGAAAACCTCTGATTTACAAGGCATCAGGTAAAGTATTCAGAAAGGTTTTGCCTCAGTAGTAGGGCAATTAGATTAAGTGATCCCACTCAACAAAGATTAAAAGCAATACCTTAAAGGATCAAACACCTTCCAAGTAATTTCAATATATTCCAGAAAAAGTTTGAAGACTATTTATAGGAATACAAAAATATCCAGCACCCAACAAGGTAAAATTTGCAATGTCTCCTTTTACATGCCTGACAAGCATCAACTGATTTCCAAGCAAGGTTTTAAAAAATAAGAAAAATAGAGCCATAATGAGTAAAAATATCAATCAAAACCAGCCTAGATATGACACAGTTGATAAGATTAGGAAACTAGGACATTAAAAGTTGTTATAAATGTATTCCATGTGTTCTAGAAACCAGAAAAAAAGTTGACTACATTTTAAGTAAAGACAAAAAAAAAAAAAAGACCCAAATCAAACATCTAAAAATGACAACCAGAATGTTAGAGATGCTCTACCTGACACTCAGCGAATAATGAGACTTTCTTCTCTGATGGATCCAGACTCTATTCCTGGTGTTGTATGTGAGCTGTAAGTATTGTATTGTGCCCTCAAATCCTTTTGAGTGGTTCTTCCTAGACTTAAGTAGTTCCCTCAAAGGTATGCACTGATTAGTACTCAACTGAATTCTTGAAAGGAACCTCTAGAGATCTGCCCAATTCTCTTGCAGGTCTCTCTTCTCTGACATTCTGCCCTGTGAACTCTAGGTGCCTTGGCTCCCCACAGCTTCCCAGCTCCATCTCTTCAACTCAGTAAGATTTCTTGGCTCCTCTGGGTTCTACTGACCTGCTCCATGCCTAGAAACTCTCTCCAGGCTAGAGCAATCTTAAGTCTCACCTAGTTTGTTTCCTGTCTCTCAGGGATCAGTCTTTTGTTGCCTGATGGCAAATGTCTTAGAAACTGTTGTTTCATATTTTTTTATCCAGTTAGTTCTTTCAGGCGGAAGGATACCAATTCCTGCTGGTCCATCTTGGCTGGAAGCACTATATTAACCATTTTAATTTTTTTTTTCAACGTTTATTTATTTTTGGGACAGAGAGAGACAGAGCATGAACGGGGGAGGGGCAGAGAGAGGGAGACACAGAATCGGAAACAGGCTCCAGGCTCCGAGCCAGCAGCCCAGAGCCCGACGCGGGGCTCGAACTCACGGACCGCGAGATCGTGACCTGGCTGAAGTCGGACGCTTAACCGACTGCGCCACCCAGGCGCCCCATATATTAACCATTTTAAAGGGAAACTATGAGTTAAATTAACTTTGTGATAGCACTGAACACTGAAATTTTCCAAAATTAGATGTATCCAATTGACACCACTCATACATTAATAAGTTATCTGAAAGCATGTAATAAATGCATAATATGTGGTAAAAAAAAAAAAAAAAAAAAAAAAATTTAAAAAAAAAAAAGAAAAAAAAAATATTTTTTAAAAAAAAAAAAAAAAAAAAAAAAAACATTAGTAACCATGAAGGTGAAATACCAGCTGTTTGCAAAGAATAAACAACACCCAGTAAGAAAAACAGTGAGGGGCGCCTGGGTGGCTCAGTCGGCTGAGCTCCCGGCTTCAGCTCAGGTCATGATCCCACGGTTTGTGAGTTCAAGCCCCGCGTTGGGCTCTGTGCTGACAGCTCGGAGCCTGGAGCCTGTTTCGGATTCTGTCTCTCTCTCTCTCTGCTCCTCCCCTGCTCATGCTCTGTCTCTCAAAATAAATAAATAAACATTTTTTAAAAATTAAAAAAAAAAGAAAATCAGTGAAAAGCTATTTGTTGGATATGTCTTTAATAGCCAATGCAACTAATCTAGAGAGTAAGGTCTTCTACCTGAAAATGAAGGAAGATTACCACTCATATGCTGCTGAAGGTACATGCGGTCAAGATTTAAAAAAAAAAAAAAAAAAAAAAAAGTCATTCCCAAGGAGCTTACAGAGAGGCTTTTAATATGAGCAAGAAAGAGATGCAACCCACACACCCAATCTGCCTGGGGCTGGCTCTTAACTTTTCTGTATTTTACTATGAGATCCTTAATAATCCAAGCTTGCCTCCACACTGGCTATAATGGCTTTTGATGAGGCCACTTCAGAACTTGATATACTGAATGAAGCCTCATCCAAAGACAGTACCCTCACCATGAAGTTGCTTAGAGACAACCTAACATTATGGACATCAGACACTGCAGGAGAAGAATGTAGTGCTGCAGAAGGAGCAGAAAACTAAATGCATATAGAGGATTATCCTTCTTCCCCTCAAGAAACCTTATTCCATTTGAATTTCCTATAGTAAAGAAACCCATTCACATGTATGGAATCAAATGCTTATAGTCTTCACACTGCAGCTTTGGGAAAACTCCATCCCTTGATTTGTGTTTGCCTCGGCCTTTCTGGTGTGCAGTTACTGATGTAGAAAAGTATTGATAGCTTCAATTCATATAAACATAAGTAACTTCCAAACACTTACATACAAGACTAAAAATGTATCTGGTATTCAAGTAATCTGAACCAGTTCTGCAAGTAACTGTGTTTTGTATTACTGTGAAGATATGAAAATGTAGTTAATTATAATTTAAAGAGTCTTCTACATAACTTAATTTCCATTAAGTTATATTCCCTCTCTTACTCTTTTCGAGAGTTTCACCCTTTGAGTAAGCAACTTTTCTCTGTTCTTAATGTACTCCTTTTTGGTAGGAATCCAGAAGTATGAGATTAAATGAAAAAGCATTTGACAT